GTGTGTGTGTGTGTGTATACATGTATACACACCCCCATACACACATGTAAATTATTTAAAAAGACAAATCTTGAGAAAATGTATATACTCATGCCTTTGTATTTTCATGTGTGCTGAATGTTTGAAATCTGTCTTAGAGACTATTATAGGCATCATTAACTGCAATTTATGGCATACAAAATTGAGATCAAGGAGTTTAGGTACACAGATACTAGGAAGTAATACCTGCACTGTTTCTCTAAAGCACTTATATTTTCTAGTCATAACCCAGTATTTCAGAGTTGACAACTGCAATATTAGTTAATGATGTCAAACAGATATTAGAAAGCCCTGGGGTTATTTAAAAAATCTTAACAAATGTTGGCTGCATAGAGTGAATTTTTTCATTTCTTTCTCATTTGATTTTAAATTGAATTGTATATAGTCATTGAACATGTCCCTTTCTCTCATAACATTTTGAGATTAAAAAAATCTTGAAATTATTCTTTAGAGATGTGTATAAAATACAATTCTGCTCGACCCCATCATCCAAAAAATGTTCCAGAGAGAATGACTTTACTAAATATAATAAAACCATTTATGATGTAATCCTTCACTTGAGTGGAAAAATGCTACCTGGAATTAATTCAAGTCAGTCTTTACCTGTGGACTACACTGAAAGAGTGATTCAACTTCATTTTCAGCATTCTTCACTTCTTGAGTTTCTCAAGTAAGTGCATGGATTTGTTAATTAAACATGTAATTATGGTTTGGTTAAATTGATAGACAGATGGGTAGATAAATAGATTTTAAAATTACTTGTCTTTTTATAAAATATTTACTAAGTTTCCACTATATCCATAACACTGTAATATATACATTGTTAAACACAAAATAAGATTTTTTTTGATCTGTTGAATTTATAATCTAAGACAATCATTCTCAGGTTTTATTCGTGTATCCAAATTAGTGGCATGTGACCCTTCTTCACAGAGTTTATAATGCTAGTTTGCATTTATTTATAAGAAAATTCAAGTGACATTAGAGAAGTTACTCTGTTATAATTTTTCAATTTCCTGCTCTGATGTTCTCCTGATTTTTTTTTACCTATTTTGAGTAAATTTCAATACATTATTTTCATTTTTGGGGAATCATCGAGTAATTAAAAATCACTCGTCAGCAATTGTGACTAGATGTAGTATTGTTTGTGCGCTTATAGACTTTTCATTTATAACTTTATTATTTCTTGATTATAGATATCAGTTTCCTGCTATCCTCTGTATCATTTGTTGCATTAGTTTTTCATTTGGTATTTTTTATTTTACCATTTTTTATTCCATTAAAAATTAATATCCATCACAACTGATACAGAAAGTATCAGGAAATAGAGATTGTGTTCTTATTTAAAGAATGGAAAAATATATGAGACAGCAGATCTTTGGATTTTTATCTTTAAAATGAGATACTTTCTACTCATGAGGCTGATGTAACAGTATGTGCCCTACTTAATATTAAAATACAGCTAGAAGGGATTATGCTCGGTGAAGTAGGTCAGAAGGGAAAAAAAAATATGGAATGATTTTACTTATAATAGGAAAATAGACAAACCAAATAAGGAACCAGGGAAAAATTAATAGCAATTTCAATATATAAGACAAAATTAACAGACAACTATAATTCAGACATTTTGTGGGGCGGGGAGAGGGATCAAAACAGGAGAGGGAAGAACACAAGGGGCTGTGGTGATGGTTTGGTGGTGGGAATTCTATGAAGACGACACCTGAGAAAGAAGGCAAATGTCATACAAAGATGAACAATGATGTAAATTTATGTATAGATCTCTCTCTCTCTCTCTCTCTCTCTCTCTCTCTCTCTCTCTATATATATATATATATA